TTTTGAGATGGAGTTTCGCTCTTGCCGCCCAGGCTGGAGTGCAATTGGCACAATCTCGGCTCACTGCAACCTCCGCCTCCCTGGTTCAAACGATTCTCCTCCTCAGCCTCTCAAGTAGCTGAGATTACAGGCATGTGCCACTAGGCCCAGCTAATTTTGTATTTTTAGTAGAGAAGGAGTTTTACCATGTTGGTCAGGATGGTCTCGAACTCCTAACCTTGGGTGATGTACCTGCCGTGGCCTCCCAAAGTGCTGGGATTACAGGCATGAACCAATGATTACATGCCTGACCAATGATCTCCTTTTTAGAGCACAGCTCAAAACTTAGGAGTGTCTAGTATTTGAGCCTTATTTGCATAAAAAATGAGTAAATGGGCTGTTGGACCTACAGCTTAGGGATCTTCCTGTTTCCACATATGACACAAAACTCTAAGGAATAAAAATCGGTTATATGTTAAAAAAAAAAAAAAAAAAAAAAAAAAAAAAAAAAAAAAAAAAAAAAAAAAAAAAAAAAAAAAAAAAAAAAAAAAGAGCTATGGGTACTGATTTGCAGAATCAGAACTATTGTTTAACTATGACTTGAACATGAAAAATGAATCTTGTATTACTTCATTTATTAATTTGATCCTGGTCCCTATTCAAAATCAGCTCCATAGCCATTTCGGTTGTGTTGTAAAAATGGAAGCTGTAATTCTCCTTAATATATTTTCTTCTTTGGTTCATCACTTCCCCAGGCCTCCCCATCTCTGCATCTTTTTCTTTCGTTTTCCTTCCCTCTTTGCAGCAGAAGCACAAGAGCATTCATTAATCCTGACCCCTAAAAAGCAAACAAAAGAGAGCCCACACAAATTCATCAGTTGAAGTGGAAGGCAATTTACCCGGAGCAAAAGCCCACCCCATTGTTGCCAGATGAATGGTGCTGGTCGCTGGAGCCGAAGGAGGCTGCCACGCGAAAGACCTTTGATAATGCTGCCTTTATGGGAGCCCAGCACAAGGGAAACACTGTCAGCAGAGGCTGGCCCTGCCCTAGTGCACCGATCAGCAGGCGCACAGAGCTGGCTCGGCGTCCTCAGTGTCAGCCAAGACGCTGTAGATAGAAGTGCGGTGCATGTGTGTTTCTCTCCAGTTTTCTGAAAAGGGTTGCCATATACACATCCCTTTTAGACTATTTATCTTTTGAAGTGTTCTCTTTAAAGAAATGTATTATTTCTAAAAACTATGCTTAATTTTACTGCTAATCGTAACAGATTATTGTAAAACTGGTATTTACTGAGTGCCATATACTATGTTATACTTGCAACAATAATGAAACAGCCCTGGATGCTGGCTGTGTTATAGTGTCTATCTCCATTTCACAGATGAGGAAACTGAGGCTCAGAGAAGTGAAGTACTAAAATCTACTAAGTGGTAGAACTAGGAGTTGAAGTCAGGTCCTGATGACTTGGAGAGTCTCAGGGAAGAGAAGAATCAGGGAGAGGAAATGCCTACTCTAGTTTTCTCATAGATAGCTGAGAGGTTCAATAAGTCCACAGATGGGAAACCAGTTTGGAAAATATAGAGTGACATGCAAAGGCCAAGTATGACAGTTCAGCAGTGTCGAAGCCTTACTGGGCAATGACTTGCCCATGCCTTTCCCCATTGCCCATAGCTTCCTCGCCACCCTGGTTCCTTCCATTTTCCATCTTCTTGTCTTTCTTACAGTCCTCTACTTTATAATTTTCAGAGTCATTAAAGATAATTGTGCACTTGAGACCAGAACCCCAAAATAATGGTAACTGAGAGGGACCCTAAGGCTTAAAGTTTTGGTGACAGTCACACCTAGTGAGAACCTGACCTAAAAAGGGGATTTTTTTTTTTTTAAGACGGAATGTCGCTCTGTTGCCCAGGCAGTAGTGCAGTGGTTCTTTCTAAACTGACGGCAACCTCCACCTCCCAGGTTCAAGCAGTTTTCTGCCTCAGCCTCCCAAGAGGAGAATTTTTAACAAAATTATGAGAGGCCATTGTTTTGGACTAAGCTCATGCACTAACCCCTAATAGACCAGACCAAACCAACATGGGTCACTCATGTTAAATGTGACATAATCAAAACTTTAAAGAAACAGACCAGAAGATGCCAGCAGGAGGAGGTCCCCTCTACTTTAACCCTTACAAAAAGTAACCTAAAGTCTTTCTTCTCATTTTACAAACCCCATTGTTCTGCTATTTCTCAATGATATTCAAGAACAAGTAAGTACATCTGTACAATGGTGACAGAGTGACATTAGTGCCTAAAGTTTTGGTCAGTATCTGAAAATTGAGAAGATGACCGAAAGTGGGAAATTGGACTGGGCATGGTGGCTCACGCCTGTAATCGCAGCATATTGGGAGACCAGGGTGGGAGGACCGCTTGAGCCCAGGAGTTCAAGACCAGCCTGAGCAACGTGGTGAGACCGCATCTCTATTTAAAAACAAAAAAAGTGCAAGAGGGGAATTGTTAAATTATGTTTAGCGTAAAGCTGCCTCCTTACATATTTTAAGTTTAGTCTAAATGTTTTTTACTTTTCTTTTTTCTTTTGGAACAAGGTCTCTGTCACCCATGCTGAAGTGCAGTGGCATGATCTTGGCTCACTGCAGTCTCTACCTCCAGAGCTCAAGTCATCCCCCAACCTCAGCTTCCCGAGCAAGTAGCTGGGACTACAGGAGCACGCCACCATGTCTAGCTAATTTTGTTTCTTTGTTGTGGAGAGAAGGTCTCAGTATATTACCCAGGTTGATCTGGAACTGCTGGGCTCAAGTGATCCTCTGGCTTTGCCCTCCTAAAGTGCTGGGATTACAGGCATGAGCCACCACGACCAGCCCTAAATGTTTCTCTGTACACAGTGAACTGTAGCCTATCCAGATGTATAAACAAACTATAATCTACTTTTCTGCTAATCACTGAGTTTTGGCCAATCAAAGGTGGCCAGCAATTCAAACTGTGTTCAAATAAGGCAAACTCCGAAGTGTAACTAATCTGTCTGTTTCTGTACCTCACTCCATTTTTTTTTTTTTTTTTTTTAAATTGAGGAAGACTCTCATTCTTTCACCCCGGTTGGAATGCAGTGGTGCGGTCTCAGCTCACTGCAACCTCCACCTCCTAGGTTCAGGGAGTTTTCCTGCCTCAGCCTCCTGAGTAGCCAGGATTACAGGCATGCGCCACCATGCCTGGCTAATTTTTGTATTTTTAGTAGAGATGGGGTTTTGCCACGTTGGCCTGGCTGATCTCGGACTCCTGACCTCAAGAAGTCCTTCCACTTGGGCCTCCCCAAGTGCTGAGATTACAGGTGTGAGCCAGGGCCAGCCCTCGCTTCCATTTTCTGTACATGACTTTCCTTTTTCTGCCCCTAAACCTTACAGCATATGGCAGCACTGGAGACTCTCTGAACCTTTTCTTGTTCCAGGGCGGCCACATGCACGAGTCATTCTCTGCTCAATTAAACTCTGTTAAATTATAATTATAATAATCCTGCACAAGCAGTATGGACTAGAAGTTCGTCTAAATCCATATCCTGAGGTCCCCTACAGACATCCAATTCTGACCATAAGGTTAAGGCAGAGATAACATGTTCTGGTTCCTGCATAGGATTCTTTCATCTACAAGGTCTGGGCATAGCTTGCAGCACTCACTGGGTACTTCCCCCTAAGAGCCCCCTGCCCACAACTTGGGAAGAATGCTGGGTGTTGGATACAAAGTCCCCTTGTCCTAAGCCCTCCCCATCAAACTCTCATCTTCCAGAACACGGCAGTGAGCAACAACTTCTAGCCAGGACCCCTTTTCTACAGTAAGTCATTTCACAATAAAATGGGTTAAGTAAGTTAAGCTTTACCTTTGTGTATCACTCTACCTTGTCAAATTGTTTTCCCATCCATCATTTACATTGTGAGACTTGCAGCTTGGACGCCATTATTCCCACAGTTGTAGCTCACTGCATCCTCCAACTCCTGGATTCAAGCTATCCTTCGGCCTAAGCCTCCCAAGTCGCTAGGACTGCAGGCGAGTGCTACCACACCCAGCTAATTAAAAAAATTTTTTGTAGAGACTAGACTCCAAGTCCTAGGATTTACATGACTCTTCTGCCTCAGCCTACCAAGTAGCTTGGAGTGATTACAGGCTGGGAGTGTTCTTTCCCCATATATACCCAAGAAAGTATTTCTCTTTTTAGTCATTTTTGAGGTTGTGATGAAGGTGCATGTCAAGAAATTGAATAAAGCAGGGCTGAAGTCAGCCTGATAATTTATTAAGCATGGGAAATGTATTTAGTTTGATATTTGTGCATAGCTAAGATATCCTATTAGATGAAATCACAAACCCAGGAGAATATCTTAGTGTGGCAGGATTTTAGGATTTTTTTGTTTCCAGTAGAGATGAAACAAACTGGCTTATCCCTTTAAAGAACCACACCTCCTTGCCCTCTTCTTATGGAAAGTTTTAAGTATTTTTCCTGATCCATAGATAATCTCACCTAATTCCTTCTGAGGCTCCAGAATCTACAACGTGGCCTCTTAGAAAAAATTACATAGGAATTTGGAATTCTGGTGGACGTCAGATCTAGGTGTGTGGCAGGCCTCTCCTAAGACCTGTTGCCCAAGTGTCTACAGAAACATTTAGAAACGGACTGTCAACTGCAGAGGTGTTTATGGGTGGAAGGGTAGGGTGTTGGAGTGTCTGAAGACGCAGGGCACATCCGGAAGGCTGAATCATGCGTGTGCCTACGGAAGACTCGTAAATTCCATCTTAATTTTGTGAGGGTGTAACTCTTGATGACCTAGGAAATTTTATGAATTCTTGTATCATGCAACCTTTAAGATGTAATTATAGGAAGTGGAACTATCGTGCTTGAATTCATTTCCAAATTCAGGGAAAGAAATGTGTTGCCTATCTGACCATGATTTTGTTTTTATTTTTTTATTTTCTTCTTATTTATGTGTTGTTATTATTTTTTGCTTTTCTAGGCACAGTATGAAAACCCACCACATATCTACGCCCTTGCAGATAATATGTACAGAAACATGATCATTGACAGAGAGAACCAGTGCGTCATCATCAGGTATGAAAAAGATTCTTATCAGTGGGCAAAAAGGATATGAGACTATGCCGTGACCATGGATCTCGGTCGATAAGCAGTGGTTTTGCAACAGCTACTGATGTCAGAGTCTGGTTAATGTGTTTGAGTAACAAGCAGGTTAGCTGTTTTATCTTGGTTTATTTATAACTCTGTGCAATAGAGCTGCAGATCAGAAAACTTTTGAGCTTCTGTGGGGTTGCAGTAAGTATAATAAATAGGTTTTTGCTGTTTAGTCAGATGGAATCCTTTTCTCTAGGTCCCTGTTTTTTCTTTCCGTTCATAATTTAGTAATTCATATTTGAATATTTTTCATGAACTCTGTCATTTGTATGGAATGCAGGGGTAGATTACTGGTAACTGCCAGCATGAGGAGTCTGTAGACATGTTTCATAATCCCTCTAGTCTGACATGGCTCTGAATCCTGGCTGGGTTTAAGTCAAGCCTTTTCAACCTGCAGGCTAGGACAGCTTGCATTGTGGCCCAACACAAATTTGTAAACTTTCATAAAACATTATGAGACTTCTTTGCAATTCTTTAAAGCTCTTCAGCTATGATTTGTATTAGTACATTTCATGTGTGGCCCAAGACAATTCTTCTTCTTCCGATGTGGCCCAGGGAAGCCAAAAGAGTGGACACCCCTGGCTTAAGTGCTTTTAAAAGTCTGCTTACTTACAAAAATTAGCTGAGCATGGTGACACACGCCTATAATCCCAGATACTAGAGAGGCTGAGGCTGGAGAATCCCTTAAGCCTGGGAGACGGAGGTTGCAGTGAGCCAAGATTGTGCCACTGCACTCCAGCCTGGGTGACAGAGTGAGACTCTGTCTTGAAAAAAATAATAAAACTCTGCTTACTAACGCCAGATGGGGCGGCTCATTTCTGTAAGCCCCAGAGTTCGAGACCAGCCTGGGCAACATGGCAAAATCCCATCTTTACAAAAAAAAAACAAAAATTAGCCAGGCACCTGGTGTCATGTGCCTGTAGTCCCAGCTACAGGGGAGGCTGAGTGGGGAGGATCACTTGAGCCATGGAAATCAAGGCTGCAATGAGCTGAGATTATGCAACTGCATTCCAGCCTGGTAACACAGCAAGACCCTGTTTAAAAAAAAAAAAAAAGGCTCACATCTGTAATCCCGCACTTTGGGAGGCCGAGACAGGCAGATCACTTGAAGTCAGGAGTTCAAGACCATCCTCGGCAACTTGGTGAAACCCCATCTCTACCAAAAATAGAAAATTAGCCAGGCATAGCTGTACTGCCTGTAGTCCCAGCTACTGAGAGGCTGAGCCATGAGAATTGGTTGAACCCAGGAGGCAGAAGCTGCAGTGAGCCAAGATCACACCACTGCAATCCAGCCTGGAGGACAGAGTAAGACTCCATCTCAAGGAAAAAAATGTCTGCTTACTATTGTAAATATTTTCTTTTCCTTTGTATTTTTATTGTGAATATTTTCAAACACTAGAAAGTATAAGCATCCATATGCTCATCAGGTAGAATTTGACATTTTACATTTTATCATACATATTTGTGTTCATCTTTTTTAGTTTGCCTGAGAGATTTTTGAAAACCTTTTATTATGGATAGTTATAAATATACACAAAATGAGAAAGAATAGTAGGTGTCCCTGTATGTCTATTATCCATTTTGCACAGTTACCAATATATGGCCAATTCCGTTTTATTTGGTCCTCCCATTCTGTCCCACTTGATTACTTAAAGCAAATCTGGCAGGGCATGGCAGTGGATTAATTTCCAAGGTCAAGAAAAGATTACATATAATCCTGGCACTTTGGGAAGCCATAGGGCAGAAGAGTCACTTGAGGCCAGGAACTGGAGACCAGCCTAGACAACATAGCAAGCCATGTCTCCATAAAAAAAATTTTAATTAGCTGGGTGTGGTGGTACACACCTATAGTCAGTCTAGGGAGGCTGAGGCAGGAGAATTGCATTAGCCCAGGAGTTTGAGGTTACGGTGAGCTATATACTTGAACCAATGTACTGTAGCCAGGCTGGACAAACAGCCTGTCTTAGAAAAAAGAAAAGCAAATCCAAATATCCCCTTTATTTGTCAGTAATTAATATGTGCCTCTAAGAAATCATTCTTACCACACCTTAAACATGAAGAATTCTTTTATAGTATCCAATATTATCAGTATTCCAATTCCATGCTTTTCTTACAGATTCTTTGTCATAGTTGTTTTTATTTAGTAACCAAACAAGGTCCACATACTGCACCTGGTTGCAACGTCTCTTCAGTCTTATAACTATTTTCCCTTCCTCTTTTTGTTTTCTTGGGTTTGTTTAAAAAAAAAAAAAAGTTTTCCCCTATTTCCCCCCAACAGACCCCAGTGGAGGGTGGGGAGTTGGGAAGAGATAGCATGGGGAGAAATGCCAGATATAGGTGAAGGGGAAGAAGGCAGCAAATCACACTGCCATGTGTGTACCTATGCAACTATCTTGCATGTTCTTCAAATGTACCCCAAAACCTAAAATGCAATTAAAAAAAAGTAAAAAAAAAAAAAAAAAAAAAGGTTTTTGTCCTGTAGGTCTTGCTACACTCTGGCATTGCCTAATTGTATCCAGTGATGTTGCTTTAGTATTCCACTGTTCCTACACTTTTTGTAAATTAATAGTTAGACCTAAAAGCTTGATCAGACTCTGATTCCATTTTTGGCAAAAATAACTTTATCAGTGATGCCGTGCACTTCCTGCCTGTTGCTCTTTCTTCTTGTGTCCGGGTTGTCAGTGAACCCATCTGTTATAAATCATTTCAGAGCCATTGTCTAATTAGTGGTTGAAAAATATTTTTTATCTAATTCTGTCATTTTTTTGCATTTATTAGTTCTTTTATTTGGTCACCTTAAAAATATATGGGAAAATTAGACAAAACACTGGATTCTTGCTCAAGGATTATCTTCAAGATATGTAGAAAAAAACACACTGGATTCATTGCCATTATGCACCTATTTTCAGTACAATCAATTGTCGCCCTAGTAGTCTCCCAAGGTAATGTGACTCATTTTCAGTATTATTCCAAACTGGTGGATTTTTAATATTGTACCTGTTTAACTACACTGCAGTTATACTTTTCAAGGCTAGAATGATCTTATTGTTGAACTGTGACTTTCTTTTATCTTAGCTCTTATGTCCTTTGGACATGACCAGTAGGCTCAGTTTCCTTCTTTAAGACTTTGCAGCTCATCTTGTGTATTTCCTGTATATTGTGTATGTCCTATGCAAGATGTAGAATCCACTCTCTCTCCAGGGGCCTTGGTTCTTTTCTGTTTTCTTTTCCTTTTCTTTTTGAGACCAAGTCTCACTCTGCCACCCAGGCTGGAATGTAGTAGTGTGATCTCAGCTCACCACAACCTCTACCTCCTGGGTTCAAGTGATTCTTCTGCCTCAGCCTCCTGAGTGGCTGGGATTACAGGCATGTGCTACCATGCCTGGCTGATTCTTTTGCATTTTTAATATAGACAGGGTTTCCCCATGTTGGCTGGGCTGGTCTTGAATTCCTGACCTCAAGCGATCCACCCACCTCAGCTTCCCAAAGTGCTGGGATTACAGGTGTAAACCACCGTGCCCTTCTGGGCCTTGGTTCAGTTTAATGGGAAATGGTGTTAAAAGACCGGTAAACTGGGCACCAAGAATGCTCACTGCGCTGTTGTTAGTGCCTGTAGTTTTCTGAAAGGACAAAGCTAGGGAATATGAGTTTTTTAAGAGAAAAATGAAATGGAAAAATTGTTTCCAGTTAATTTAGAAGATTTCAGTTTTTCTTTGATTTTAATTTTTGTATCCTATTTCTCTTATGCTGAAAAATCTTAGTTCCTGATTACATTAGCAATTGTTTGCATTGCATTTTATACATTTTAGATAGATAAAGTTTGTTAATGCTTTTAAAATAACAATACCACTATTATTAGTAGCAATACTGAATTTATTTTAAAATTTCTTTTTTTTTTTTTTGTCCAAATGCCCAATATTTACAGTCAAAATACTGGGTTTCATAAAAGTCACTTAAAATAATCCGTTTCTGTGTCAACCTGACCTACAGTTGGGTTCATTTATTTCATTTTCATTTTTAGTTGTTTAGCATTTTTAATTTTGTTTTCATAATTATGTAAAACATTTACATAATTCCAAAGTCAATATTGCAAAACGTGAGCACTGAAGCATTTCGAGGTAAATATATATCTGAGGTATTTAAAGATAAATATAGACTTCATGACATTTTACCCCTAAATATTTCCACATGCATCTCTGAAAAATTGAAATATTTTCTTACTAATCCCAAGTCCATTATCATAACTAAATAATTAATAGTACTTTTTCAACATCATCTAAGAACTTCTATTAACCTTCTTTAATTGTGGCAAATGTCCTTTTTTGCTGGTTTATGCAAATCAAGTAATGCTGAATGCATTTGGTTATGAATCATAAATTTATTTTTATCCTACCATAGTTCCTCTGTTACTACTATTTTTTTCATGACACTGACTTTGAAGAGACCAAACTACTTTTCCTACAGACATCATTTACATTTGTCTAATTGCTTCTTTTTTTTTTTTTTTTTTTTTTTTT